GCTGAACCGGTCTTACATTTGGATCATATTCGCATAAGAGATGCCTTTTCAATTGCACCATGGGTGATATGTTTTCAGAGCTACAACTGCTTTCTGCTATCACATCGGTACATGCAATGAGACTAAACAGGAAGACGGGAAAGAAACTGTTCCTACCCATTTTGAATATCTATACGTCTATACGACGAATGGATCTACAATGACTAAATCGCTTAGCAATGGATTATGTGAGAGCAGAACTAATGATAATTATACGCCCAGTGAAACGTAAAACTGCAGACCATGAAGACCGCCCCTTTAGGAAACTCTTATCAACAATAGAAATAATTTCATTTTTATTTAAATAACAAACGACAAATACATTTTTCGGATGGAATATATTATATTAATTGTATTAACTTTTTTTATTATTTTACGTTATTTTGTCTATTTTGAACTAGAAGATGCAGCATATATGTATAATATTTATAATGTTTTCATAATTATAATAATTTTGATAATTATATATAACTACGATTATTACAATTGCGATAATAATATTTGAATTTATGATAAATAAAGAATTTTCGAGCAGATAAGAATAATGAAGATAAAAATGATCTAATTATTCAGAAAATCGAATTAAAAACCAGCTTATTTTTATGTTAATAACTTTTTATTATTAGGTGTTGGAATTAATTCGTAGCGTTTTTTAATGAAAGAATGTTATTTATTTCACATGAGCATTAAAAAATACATTAATGAAAGTACTTCCCATCACTTGTAAAACGCTACGAATTAATTCCAACACCTAATAATTATTTCATTGATTCTTTATTATAGCATTTTTAGCAAATTTTGTATTATTCATTTTAAATAACACAGGCCCACAAAAAAAGTACTCTGTATTAGGGTGGAGACTTAATTATTCTTATGTATTTTGAGTCGCTGAATACGAATCTGACATAAAAATATAATAGGATCATCTAGGACAAATTTTCAATCTAAAGTGAAAAAAAGAGTTAAAAATGAGAAAAAAATGGATCATTTTTTCACTCTAGATTGGAAATTTGTTCTGAATGGTTCTATTTTTATGTCAAATTCGTAAGCAACTTAAAATACATAAGAATAGCTGGGTCTCTACCCCAGCATAGGATATCTTTTTTGTGATAATTTTTCTTTCCAGACTTTTTTAAATTTATTTATAGTTACAAATGCAATTATTAAATTCTATAAATTACATAAATTATTTGTATAAAAAATATGATTAACAAGGTTTAACAGAAGGAAAAAACAAATAGATAACATTTTAATTAAAAATAACACAAACAATTATTTATTTTAATTATTTACAAAAGAGTAAATAGAAAAAATTGTTTAAAAGGATGTTGGATATTATGGAAAATATTTTGATAAGTATCATGAATTAATTCGTAACTCCTGAAAGTACAAGAGTGATTAAGATGATGACATAGGTGAGGATCACACAAAAGAATGACAACCATTCAATAATAGCGGTGAAATGTCTCCAGGATTCTTTCTTCATTTCGGACTTTGGAGTATCCGAGTTGTCTTCAGTCACTATACCTCCATCTGCTATCTTGGATTCCTCGTCGTTCAGGACCAGAAATCGACCAGCCTTGTTGCTCAAAATGAATGTCGTCGTAGAAGATATCCAACTTGGCATCTCCATGCTCATGTTTTGCAGTTTACGTAACAATGCTGTCAGAATTAACGCAAAAGTGGCCAACATCAAGGAGTCGCGGTAGAACAGCACTGTAGGATAAAAGAAATATAACTTGTTATTTGTAACTTAAATTATGATTTTAATTATATGATTCTAATTACATAATTGTTAATCTATATATTTTATCATATTTTAATTTATATATCTACTTTTTCTTCTTTTTTTCTTATATATCTATTTTATTTCTATCGCATTAAATAATATTTACACACAACATTTAATGTATGTATTATTATATTGAAAAAAATTGCTGGTACGAGTAGATTTTATCACACGAAACTTTAAATATCTCTCTCAAATTTAAGATATTTGTTTATCTATAATTACTCTTTGTGGTTTTGATACTCACTTATATAAGGAGAATTAACGCCATTGAATGGCACCATCCAGTACAAATCGAATATGCAGAGTAGGTGACAAATAAAATTTATACTCGCCATCGCTACTCGTTCAACCGATCTTGAATCCAACCAGAGCACCGTTAAGGTGAGGAATATCAAAGCTAGAAAAGACATTCATGATCTAGGTTTACCATGCAAATTTGCTTTTGCAAGCAATTGCTTACCGATAGCTGGCGCAATATAAGCTCTATAATGTATGCTGTAGTGCCGAGTTAGTAAAAATGTGTAATCAATTCTAGGAAAAGTATCGTTCGGACAACATTTATACTTTTTAACGACTTTTTCTGCATTTAAAAGTTTCATGTCCCACTGTGTATTATTTTCATAACCGTTCATGTCAACCTATAAAATAAATGTAGTGAATTATTTTTATTTTTTGTAATATGAGATAATAAGATAATTATATTTACTTCTAGTTAAAATAAAAAATAAGTAAATAAGCAGAATAAAGGCGAAAATTGCGCAAACTTTTAAAATTAAATTAAAACGTAAAAAGGTATTAGGTGTTGGAATTAATTCGTAGCGTTTTACAAGTGATGGGAAGTACTTTCATTAATGTATTTTTTAATGCTCATGTGAAATAAATAACATTCTTTCATTAAAAAACGCTACGAATTAATTCCAACACCTAATAAATAATTTAATAATTTTGAAAAATTTTTACTTAGTAATTTTACAATATTGCATTAATACAAAGCATCATTAAATTAATAATTTTACAATACATAATTTTTCATCAAAAATAAGATTTGAATAAAAGTATATACAGAAAAGATTGATCATTGTAAGTTTATAACAAGTCGAACAATTTACGTACTCCGGTTCCGTCTAGATGGACATCCATTTCTTCTCCTATATGCGACCATGAACCGAGTGTTATAAGACATGTGTGCTGATCATAAGGCCAATAAGTATAATCGGGATCGCATTTTGATACAATTTTTAAAGGTGGCACGCAAATGACAGAACCATTATTAAAGACCAAACATTCCGTATTGAAAATTGTCTCGTAATCGTTACTTGTCATATCGCCACTAAAAGTATACGAAAAATGACCGAAATATTTATAGTCGGATTTATATCACATAACTAAATACTAATATAAAATAATACTAATAAAAATGAGAATTAAAACGTTTATCTTAAAATTAACAATTTATTTTAAAAAATAGAAAAATAATAATAAAAAATTTAAATTAGATTAAATTTTAATTTAAATTAAATATGAATTTCCCTAATTTAAAAGAGATATATAAATTAGATTATTTTTCCATTGTATTGTTTCCTTATCTGATCAGATCTCCTTTGCAATCGTTTTCTTCATTCATCCTACATTCAAAAGTACTTTATATTTTGCTTCAATTTTATTAATATTATATTAACAATGAGTAATAATTATACGAAGCTATTTACGAATTGTAGACATAAATATCAGGCATCCAAAGATAGAAGGGCTGCACGTGAATATAAGTAAGTCCATTATAACTACTCGGTGTCCAAGTTAGAAATGCGTCCGTCCAAAACTGTTAATTAAATAACTTATTAAAATAGAAATATAAAGAAAATATTCTAAACTTACAAATGACATCCAGCTGTGAAGTGTCAGTACACCGCCCTCGGTCTACAAATGAAATTGATTAATTTTTCTTACGTATAGTTATACATTGTTTAATAATTGTCTAATAAAGATAAGAAATTACAAACAATAATTTATGTTTTTTTTTATAAAACATGTTTTAATCAATTTTTTAATTAAAGCATGTTTTATGTCAAAAAATAAAAACTGTACGACAAGATGCTAAGATATGATAATTTAAATAATAAAAAATTTATACTAAATATATTTACACTAAATATATTTAGTGTAAATATATTTACACTAAATATAATATATTATGCTATCTCGAAATATTATATTTAAAATATGATGCGCCTTTAGCACATTATAAAACTATTTACTTACAATTAAATACTACAATCAATAATGATGCACTTACGAATTCCATCATTTTCGGCATCAGCCTGAGAGTTATATTGGTAACTACTTTATGATGATTTGGACGGACAGTGCTATCATAATCGCAAAAAAGATATTTTTTAAGACGCAATAGAGGGGTTGTATTTTCTAATTTTTTGCATCCTCGTGTTATAATATCTTCTGTTTCCTTCATCCTAAAAGCTAAAAAAATATAGAAATTTACATTAAAATTCAATTAATATATCAAATTTAACATAAATTAAAATATTTTACTATATATTACTTTTATATATATTATTTTTTATTAGTGTTTTTGAAATGTTTTTACAATAATATAAAGATTATTGTTAAATGATAGGTAACATAGAATTAACTGCCTATGCAGCAGTCAGCACAGAATTTGCAGCAATATCGCTGTAAAATCTCTGCAATATTGCATCATACGATGTTGCAATATTGCAGCAACTTTTGTACTTTATGCTGTAGGGATGCTAAATTACTGAATGTATTATTACGTAAAAATATAGGTAATAATAATAGTTTAATAAAGATTATTTAATAAAGATTATTTAACGTACCAAATTGACCATGCCAAAGGATTACGAAAAATCCAAACACTTGTAGTATTCTCATCCTGCTCGAAACGAGCCAACGGCTCTGATATAACTAATTCTCTTCGTTGTAGTAGCGTAACAATTAGACGCCTCATGAAATTCGAAACTACTGATATATTGGACGCCCCCAAAGGTATAATCAACTCTGTTTGAAATACTTCTTTTACATGTAAATGAAGCTTATGGTTATGAACGAAATTAAAAGTAATGAATGATTTAACTGAAAATTATGTTACAGTAGTTACTTAAATGTAATGAACATGTATATTAAATTTCATGTACACAAATATATATACTTTTCAATTATAAATATATTAAGTTTAATGTAATGTCATGAAATTAAGTTTAAATTGTGTAACTTAAAAGTAGGAGAAAGGAGGGTGGGGTAAGATGACGACCTTTAGGTTTGTCGATTTTTCCTAATTTCTGTGATGAGGTAAAGAAACTGATTTATTTTTTTCAAATTCACTATAGTCTTAGTTATCATTGTCATTTGTAAAAATTGTAAAGTTGTTAAATAAATTACAATTTTTTTAAATTTAATTTTTTTAAAGACATATCAATTTCATTATCTGGCCCCCATATATGTGAATAAGATGACTTAGTGAATAAGATGACAAAAAGTTACAATTTAAGTTAAAAATATACTTTTTATGAATAAAAAAAGATTTATTATGATATGTTTTATATTATTGTATTTTAATATATTATAAGAAGTTTTAGAGAAAAATATAAACAAAATAAGACCTTCATATAATTTATGAAAATAAAATTATTGAAACGTTAACATTAACATAATTGTACAATATTTATGTATTATATGTACTGTAGTAATTACGTAAGGAATTTATTAGTAAAATATACCTACTTACTACTGTGCGTAGTCAAAAATAAAATAAGATTTAAATAAAATTATTAAACATTAGAACTAAACTTGGATATCACAATTATATCACATGAAATCTAATATCTTAATATCACACAGAAAAATGTTTATAATTAGCCTCATTTTTAACCAAGTAGGTATTTTATATGAGACAAACGAGAAAGTTATATTATAAAATATAAATATTAATTTTTGATTGTGATATTATGAAGCCCAGCAAACGAGAATGGATTAAAATGAATTAAAATTTTTTTAATGTGTACTTACTTATTTTTTTTATTTTAAATCCATAAAAATGGATTGAAATGGATTGAATCCGAGCTGATGCTAGTTTAATATTCGAAAAAAAACATTCATATTTAAGAGTTATAAATTTTATTCCTAAGACATTTGTAATTAATTATACCTAAAATTAACTACTTCAAATTGGTATTAAAAAACACACCTTAGTGGGATTCTCTGAATTATGAATCTTCTACGTTACCCGCTACATCACTTCTTCAATTGTTAAATGTGTTATTCATTCTCTACTTTAATTACAATCAGATAAACTAGTAACAAAATTATATAGATATAATAAAAATATCATATAACAGATATAATAAAGTATAAACAATTTACATCACTATGATACAACATTGGGTAAGTGTCGGATAATCTAATCTGGCTTAGTCGATGTCGCACGCCGTAGACTAATATTCGGATTGTGTTCGAAAGCTTGGTTTGGGAGTGTTCACATTGATCATTCATTTTACTTCAAAGAAAAACAAAAGAACATAGCTCAATTAATTTTACATTACAATTTTTTTTAACTTGGATTAAAGCGAAAAATTTCCTACTTATAATTTTGAATAATTTAAGTAGCATCTATAGTCATTTTTAAATAAAAATTTTTTTTATTCAATTAGATTGAAAAACTATAAGCATTTCATATTTAGAATATTGAATTGAGCAGTATTTATGTTGCACAGAAATTGCTGATATTATTTTTTAATTTAACTGAATTAAAAAAACTTTACTTCCTATTCACAATTCTAAATTGAATAGTATTCACGATGCACAGAAAATGCTAATATTATTTTTAGATTGAAAAGCATAGAGATATGCTCTATGCAATTCTTAAATGAATAAAAATATATTCAGGATTGAAAAGGCATTTGCTTTATGCAATTCTTATAAATGAATAAAAATGCATTCAGGATTAAAAAGGATTCATTTTAACATTCATGAATCCGTATTTCTAAAAATCTGAATCGATTTTAATCCATTTCAATCTATTCTCGTTTACTGGGAGATATTATGAAAAATTATGTAACATACAGGAACAATGTGTAAATATTATATAATATAATTCTTCTCTTCTTCATAGTAATGTCTATATTAGTCATTGATTGTATTGTGGGAAGAAAGTTTGAATCATGAGTATCAAATTATTTATTATTTGAGTTGCGAAAACGTCACGCGTGGTCACATACATAACCTACAATCTGCCTCTATGAGAGTGTCATCTTACCCACACGACATTCGTTATCTTTTAGCCACAGTTACCGTATATTTTTATTTAATTAATAAAACCGTTGTAATGTAAAAAATACAAAAATATTATTAGGTGTTGGAATTAATTCGTAGCGTTTTTAATGAAAGAATGTTATTTATTTCACATGAGCATTAAAAAATACATTAATGAAAGTACTTCTCATCACTTGTAAAACGCTACGAATTAATTCCAACACCTAATAATATGTTATTGTATTTGCTTTTAATTATATTAATATTGCAATTTTATTTAAAAAATGAAAGTATTTACTATAATTATATCATTTCTTATATACAAATGCAAACAAGTGAATTCAAAACACATTTCTTAATATATTATCTATTTTTATAGTCGGATTGAATTCAAACTATAAGAGATTGTGTATTATTACCTAAAGCCTTTAATGAATGAAACATCTGCTTTTCATCTATTATTATTTTTAAAAAATTAACAATCCGTTATCTTACTCTCTTCGTCATCTTACCCCTCTTTGCCCTATATTAAATTTTTAACGGTGAATACTTGAGAGTTATAATACATGATTAATTAAATAAAGACAACCTTGTATGCGTAATCAATAATAATGTAATTAATAATAATGTTAATTAATTTCTGATCAAAGTTCTTACAGGTCTTACGAAAATAAGTTACGAGACATATGACGATAATTATTTTTAGTTAACTGTAACGTGAAAATCTTCATCCTGTTCGTCACGAAGTACGCCTTGTATACTCGCGACAAGTATAGTGTGTGCGCAGATATAGTTGCGTTCAAGATATAAGGTGCGCACTTTCTATAATTGCGCCCAATGTACAAGCTTCTCTGAGTTTATGTGCTCAGAGCGTGAGCCGCTTGAACTCCCGTCAAATATACCGCACTTGCGCTTTAACTAATCATTAACAATTAATTACAGATTAAATGAAGATGCAACTTCTTTAAATAAAAACCTCTAATCGGAACATTCCTCTAAACATCATCATTTATACATAAGGAGATAAAAGTTGCTGAAATTGAATAAGATTATAATAGATCATCGTAAATACAAACAATTATTAAACAATGTTTAATAATTGTTTAATAATTTTATTTTATAATTTATTGTAATTTAATAAGGCGATGTACTTGAAGTATATGCGATACTAACAAGCGTCAGTCGCTATTGTAATAAATATAACTAAATCAAACAATAGAAATTGCTGCTAGCAAGCCAACACGCGACAATCGGCCAAGCTATATGCGAAATTCCATAATTAAAAGCGCACATGAACACATAGAAGCTACAGACAGCGTTCTAGTGCAGCACGAACGAATCTAATCGTGTATGCGTAAAGAGGGAACGCGGAAATCTCGCTATTGTAATATTGTTCGGCGTTATTTTCGAAAAAGTTCAGTATCGTTCAAAAATTGTTAAGTGACCGAATATTTTAAAATAGTGCTCGTTACATAAATTATAGTATGTACATGTAGTGATGACATCCCTTTACCTCTTTCTTTTCTTCTTCTTCTCAACTTTTTACATTCCTGGACACAGGCCTCTTCCATTTTTCTCCATGTCTCCCTTTCCCGTGCGACCCGCATCCAATTTGACCCCGCGTGCCTTCTAATGTCATCGTGCCATCGCGACTGCGGCCAGCCCACGCTCCTCGTCAACGCCCTCGGTCTCCAACATAATAGACGTTTATTCCATCTCTCATCCTTACACATGGTCCGCCCATCTCCACTTCATCGTCGCTACTTGTCCAACGACGTCGGCGACACCTATCTTCGATCTTATGATATTATTTCTCACTTTGTCTCTAAGACTGATTCCCAGCACTGATCTTTCCATTGTTCTTTGATATACCTTGAGCGAATTTGCCCTGTGTTGGGTCAGCGTCATAGTTTCAAGGCGGTATATTGTCAAGTATATGTCTCATATACTTTTCGTTTAAGGTTTATGGGGATTTTGGGATCTCTGATGATATATCTCAGCTTGTCAAATGCTGCTATCTCGCAATCTCCACTGGTTTTACTTGCCCAGTTTAATGGTGTGGCCCAAGTACACATATTCTTCTACATTTTGAATGGTTACTTTATCAATAGTCATTTTGTATTATTTGTGGACATAATCTTGATTTTTTTATAGATTCATATTTAGGCCCTATCTGGACAATTTAGCTCTTGCAACATCCCTTCTAGCTCTGCAAACATCGCTACTAAAGAGTACAATGTCGTCCGCAAAGCGTAGCTGGCTCAGATATGTTTCATTAACCGCAACTTTTCTTTCCTAAGGCAGTCTTTGAAAATGTATTCTAATGCCAGAGTGAACAATTTTGGGGAAATCGTGTCACTCTGTCTAACTTTTCTCTTCACCTGAATTTTTTCGATGCACATGTCATCGTTGATTTTGACTTCGAGGGTGGCTTGCCTATAGATGTATTTTATAAGGTTCGAGTATCTTGAGTCAATTCTCGCCAGATCCATTGTCTCCAAGGCCGCCCAAATCCATTGAGTCGATCGCCTTCTGATAGTTCACGAAATGCCATATTAAGAGAGATATTATATTGCATTTCTCCACCAACGTATAGCTTGGAGGTGATCGATAGTACTATAACCTTTCCTAAATCCGGTCTGTTCAACTGGTTGGAAGAAGTCCAGTTTGTTGGTGAGACGGTTCGTAACATCTTTATCAGCATTTTATAAAGGATGTTAAGTAAACTGATCGGCCTGTAATTTGCAATGTTAGCTGGGTCTCTTTTCTTAAATAAAGGAATGATCTCGGCGTTTTGCCAAGTTTCTGGGATATTTTCTTCCTCCAAATATTTATTGAACAGAGCACGACTTCCAGTCCAGTTCCTCCTGCTTTCAACATTTGCTCTCGGTACTTCCGGAATCTCCTCTGAACCCACATTTCTGATTTCGTGTTTCCTGTTAAGGTGTAACAGTTTAGGAATTGATTCTTTGTATAATTCTTTGTAGAAATCGCGGACAATGGTCACCACATCGTTTTTCTCATGCACAATCTCACCATCGATGTTTTTCATGCAGTTGATTCTCGCTTTTTCCCTGACTAGTTTTCATCTGAGGGATTTAAGATTCATATTGTCCTCGATTACTCACTCTATTACGTCCCTTCGGATTGTCTTCCTTATTTTTTTGTTGAGCTGCATATATCTCATAGAGTATCTATTGGTGTTCTTTCTTTTTTCAATAAATCTCTGTAGCTGATGTGATTTTAGAGCTGTCTTTGTTTTCAAGTGTGCATGTTTGCTTTACTGCAGATTTGATGCTGTTGGTGATCTTTAAGTTTAGTGCATTTAGTTCCAAATGGCCGAGCTCGCATATCGGACCCAATTTCCCCTCCAGATGGCTCTGGTATTTCTGCTCTTTGATTTTCTCCCTACATGGTTATAGATATCTCAACATCAACTTTTTTTTTTCAAGTCTTGTATCAATTTGAAAACACGCTCTTACCAGCCGATGATCGCTACCGATGTCAGAGCGATTTAAGACGAAGACGTCGGTATATATATTTTTATTTGAACTGAGTATGTAATTTATTTCATTTTTTACTTACATCTGGGCTTCTCCAGGTCCATTTTTTCTGTGGCTTTTTCTGAAAAAAAGTATTCATGCAATACATCTCTCTCTACCAAGAAAGTCCATAAACATTTTGCCTCTGTTGCCCAAGCCAAACACTTCGATCTTGTTTGTGTCGATCATTGTTTGTTCTCCGATCTTAACATTAAAATCGCTCATTATTATCTACTATCATAGTGAAGTGTGCTTTTTCAGATGATCTCGCCTCTATGAGATCTTCATAAAACCGCTCTATGTCCTCATTTTGGGAAGTGCTGGTGGAATATGTTTGGATGACTTGCAAGTTGTATTTTTGGTTCAGTTTCAGCAACACATAGACGACGATCAGACACCACCCTCAATTTGGTGATTAAGTATTTTATTTCTTTATAGATCAAGAGTGTCACTCCGCCCAAATGCGACGAATTGTAATATAAAAATAAAAGTCATTAAATGTTAATATCTAGTTTTAATCTCTCATGCATTTCTTTTCCTTTCATTATAAGACTAGAATGTGATTAAGTATAGTACTTAGCAATAAAAGCTGCTTCTAGCCTTATAGTTGTATGGAACGCATTTACTCTGACAGAGTTCCGAAAGAATTAAGAAGTTCGCATTAATTTAAAGATAAAATTTCTATTAATTAATTATCAATCAAGGTAATTTCATGTCTATTAAAATTACGTTTGGAGCATGTTATATATCAAAATAAGATTTATTATATTCCAAATAAAGTTTATTGTGTATCAATACAAGGCTTGCTGCTGCCGTTACAATGCATTACAAGTGCACGAATTTTAGATGCCATTACCGCCGCGTTCCTCCATCAGTTAAGGGAGACCGGGCTAATAGACTCATTTATCAGTTTCGAATTTTTATAGACAAAATTAAGAGAAATTATCGAAAAAATGAATTCTACACCAGTTACATATATTTGACTAATAATATTTTAATAATAAGGGGAAACTGATAACTAATATGAAAAAAATGCATTTTTCTAATGCATTCCATCTGATTCAACTAGCCCCGGAACCGGGAATTCGAAATTATTAAAATAAAGATTAATATATTTAAGCTACATCTTTGGCTATATATTAATAAAACTTTTATAAAAATATATTTTAAACACAAACATTCACTTCGCAAGGCAAATACTTACAAGGCACAATACTTCTTTTTGCAAAATTTGTTCATTTCGTGCAAAAACACGTCGAATAAGCCTAGTTTTTGAGATTAGACATGAGGGAGCTAAACTTATGACATTTACCACGAGGAAAACTTCCTTAAAGGAAGAAAATTTTGAGTAAGTATTATAAGAATCGTCACTAAATGAGTAATACAGTTCCATGCTGTGGTTAGTCTATTATCCCTATCCATTTATTTTTTAAAAACATTAACAATATACGATAACAGAAACATTTGGCTCATTTGTCTACCCGGTTTGTATCTTAAGTTATAATCGTAGTTGCTCATAAAAAGTATCCATCTCACCAGGCGTGGAGAGGTCATGATTGTCTTTTCTCCTAACAATCCTAGCAAAGATTTACGATTCATTTCGATGATGAACGGCCTATAGATAATTATGAAATTTCTTATAACAATGGCTAATGCTTCCTTATCTAACTGTAAATAATTCCGCTAATTTCTACCGAAAGAGTCTTGGAGCAGTATACTATAGATATACCACCTCGTGGCTCAGAACTGCATCTATTCCCCAAGGTGATGCATCGTATGACAATATTAATTTCTTATTGCTATCGTAGTGTGTTAGAAGTGCATCGGATGTAAGCAGCTCTTTAGTGGCATTAAATGTTTTGTCATGCATCTTGTCCCAGTGCCATGGTGTATCCTTGTCCAAAATGAAGTGATTCGGCTACCGTAGCTTTGCTTTTCAGGAAGAAATGATAAAAATTTATTAAGCCTAAAAATGACTGGAGTTCTTGCTTTAACGTTGGCTTCGGGGCCTTCCTGTTGGATATCTCTCACTTTCTTCCTAATGAATTGTATTTCTTAATTGTTGATGTGATATTCTAAAAAATCTATTGATTTAACTCCGATAACACATTTATCTGGTTTTAATTTGAGCCTATGGTTTCTAAACCTTATTAAAACTTCTCGAACTCGATTGTAGAGTTTTTACTCTAAAGGCGCACCAATCAATATGTCATATAATAGGGAAGTAATCCTGGAATTGAAGTTAGGATGTGTCGACTAATTTTTGGAATACTTGTGGTGCTGCACTTATTCCGAATTACTTTGAAGTGGTGCTGTACTTATTTCGTTTACTTTGAAGATTCTCTTATGAGTCATCATTGCATGAGCCTCTGCCGTTTCTTTGTATTAGTAGTTGCAAACATGCTTGTGCCATATCTAGTTTAGCAAAAATTTGTAATCCGTTAAGGGGATGCTGGAGCGAAGGCCGAACTTGATCAAGGTCGATATTACAGGTTTTCATTTCCAATGTATAATCTGCTTACGCCCTCTGAAGTTAATATGATCATGCAGGAAATTCGATCGATTAATTATCGATATTTTTATTCCGTTTCCTACATTACCATCTTAACAGGGACGTGTATTAGGATCGGTCCCACAATGTAAGATTTATTTTGGAAAATTTTCCAATTTTAGAATTGAAAAAAAAATAAACATAATTGAAGTTAATCTTATATTTGTAGAATCGGACCTTAGAAATTTAGTTGCATTATATACATATTTAGTTGTATTATATACAGACGCTAACATGTTTGCTAACATGCAATATATGTTTTAACATAATAAGATTGATGACAGCAGTAGAGTTGAATCAAAGTTACGATTATCGAATTTAAATATTTGAACATTAATTAAATTTGGCAAAATGAACTGCAGTCTATTCGTTGCATCTTGCGTTTATTTCGGGAGTGCTGTTCAAATAATAATTAGTCCGCGATTGTAGTGTATTGTTCGCAAATGTACTGTGCGAAATGACAATCTAGTTCTGAGGGGAGGAGGAGGTCTGGGAAAGACATTAGGCATCGGTGGAGCATAGTGTGCGGTAAATATTATTTTTTATTTATATAAAATTAATCTTTTTCTTGTTTAGTCTTGAATTATTTTATTTTACAATAATTCAAAAATAATAATTAGAAAAAAAGAATTACTTTAAATTATTTTAAAGTTTTATAGAAACTTATGATTGTTTTAAGATAAGATTTTTAGGAAATATATAATAGATGTAATTACTTTCATGAATATCTGTGATTAAATAAAATTATGTTTTAAAAATTACATGATTATTTTATAGAAAACTTTGCGTTTAATAATTATTTTTTTGTGCAATGATTGTTTTTCTGTCGGATTTAATTTGAATTTTATATTTATTTGTTGCAGAATCATCATAGATATGTTGCAGGTCAACAATTCCGCTGTTGCGCATCAGATTGATAAGTGACGAGTTAACGTTTTTATTGAGATAACGGAGTTGTGACAATTTTATTAATATATCATATATTTAGATGCAATATCAATTTAATGACAATATACGAACGAATAGTATAACATTCGTTGCGCTTAGATAATTAAAAATTAACTAGATATAGGTAAGATAAATC